CGTGGGCGTCTGGAAAGGCTGGAAAGAGTGGTAATTGGAAAAAGGAAATTATAAATTATAAGCAAAAAAATAACATTCACGTGGTTAATAGAAATCTGTAGAAATAGTTGAGGGTAAATAATATTTGTGATCCTAGTATCTAATCTCAATGAGCCCGAAATGAGTAAACCATAATAGATCGAAACGAGGCATCTGGAGTTTGATGAGGTTCTCAGTCTCGAGCATACTTTATATGGAAGAAAATGCACAACACCGTTAGCCAAAAACAAAAAAAAAAATAAATCAACGCGATTTCCTAGCGTCTTGAAATTTTCACTTTAACCCACTAAAATTTAATGGGCAATAAAACTGCATACCTAAAATTTTTCTAAAAATTCTAAAAGTTTAAAATATTTGGGTGTAACTGTTATAGTTTGAAAAGTGAATTTATGTGGTGCTGGTTATTTTATTAAAAAAACAATAAACATTAAATAGACAAAAGAAAAATAGCCAAACTGGTCGTTCGGAAAAGGCCTAAATGGCAACGACCTTAAAGGGTCTTTTAGTAAGTCGGAATGATTTACAGACTTTCAATGGCATGTTTTGACAAAAATCCTCTTCTGGGCATCACAGTGGCTCTGCGAGTCTTAGGTTATTACAACAACAACGACCTAACCTAACTGTTACTTATAGTTCATGCCGATGGGCGCAATTTTTTTCTCATCCAGTACCTGAGGGTCATACGCTACTCTAATACAAAAAAAGCTAAGAACTTCTATCTTGAGACGAGGATTTGCCATTTGAATTATGTAGCATATTTTTAACGACCAGTTTTGATTAGGCAAAATAAAAACTTAAATGGTACTAGACAGCTTCTCTTCATTACATTTCTTGCTTGTAGCAGCAAGAGTACGACAATCAAAATCGCTTTTCTCAAGCCGCGTTGTAGACAATACATTGTATGTTGTACAGTTGATTTCGAATCCATATATATATGTATATATAGCCCTGCAATATTCGTATAAATAAGTACGTCACGTTCAATCGGCCCACACGAATTCTCCGCTTCTAAATCTGGGCATCTCAACCTAAAGTTTATTTACTTAAATCGCTCGTATTTTCATTAGAAATAAAGTTGTCGTTTAATTTTTGTTTATTTTCGGCCCTGTTTTTAGCAGTAATTGCAACATTGTTGCCGAATTTGTGTTTTCGATCTTGCACAGCTGTAAGGCGGCAATGGATGGTAATGGATACTGTAAACATTTGCATGGAACAACACTTGCGGTGTATCCTACATACTGCAGACATTTTGTATGTGCGTACTTTTGTACATACATACATACGTATATACAAACACGTAATCTTTAAGTGGCTCAACTCCTACTAATAGATTTTTATACATAAAAACAATTTTGCATACTTTGTAAGCCAACACAAAGTTTTGTTATTATCGAGAATTGCGGTACATACATGCTACATATGTATATATGAACATTAGGATGGTCCACAAATGCATGTAAAAAAAGTAAAGTCGGGATTTTTATGCTCCCACCCCATAGAATTGTTCTATACCGAACTATCTTTTATTTTGAAATTAAAAAGCGCTCAAGGTTTTTCATGTATTTTATATGGGAAAAAATCAGAAATGGTATAGAATTCTTGAAAATCAATATTTTTCGTCCGGAAAACTGTGTTTCTCTTCAGGAGATTCCCAATAATAGCACACAATTTTTTATCCAACCATTTTTTTATTTCATTTCATATTTTCATTTAGTAACTATATTTTATAGGCCCACCAAAAACCCCAGAAAATGCAAAGGGGGGGGCGGGGGACCATTAAAAAATCTTTAGTATTAAAAATGGTTAAATAAACAATTGGATATTAATAGTTACTGGAAGTCTCCTGAAGAGAACCAGAGTTTTCCGATCGAAAAATATTGATTTTCAATAATTCTATACCATTTCTACGAAAAAATGTTTTCCCCATATAAAATACATGGAAAACTTTGAGCGCTTTGAGCGACCCTTAAATATTTTTTGATTTCAAATAAAAAATTTGGTTATTTTTTCGGTATAGAATACCGACTTTACTTGTTTTGAACCACCTTAACGTACATACACACACGCCGAATTCATTTGCATTGATTTTATTACGATATTCGTAATGTTTTCATAATAATTTTTTGTTGCTAATTTTTATAAAAATGTAGCGCATTCTGCAGCAAAAGCCATGTAAATCAAAATTTTAAACTTTGGAGATAATTAAGAAAAGTTCAGGAAATTTCCATCAAAATTTCAAATATGCAGCTTTATAGCCCATTAAATTTTAATAGCCTTATTCATAAAAAATGTAGTAGCTTTATAAAAGGTTTATAAATTGAAAAATATATGAAAACGTCAATTTATAGGGCTTTTTAAACCTACTTTATTTTTTATGAATAAGGCCATAAGTTGATAAAAAAATCACGTTGATTTTTGATATTTTTTATTTTTTGTAGACGATTTTTTTGTGTGGTAGAAAATGCTCAACAATTACTCCGGCATCAATTAAATAAATAAAATCAAATCAATAAGAAAAAAGCTCCCAAGGTTAGATTGATCTGTCTGCAATTGTTTAGTGTAACTGGCGGAACTTGGAACAGGCTCAATATATTTTTGGTAAAAAGGATTTCTCTACGTAGTGAATGTTCCTGTAAAAGTGCTGAAAAAAGTACAATTATACCTACTTTTCCATCACTGGTTTGAAGTAGCTTGGACTTGCCAATGATTGCACATTTTTTTCCATACAAAATATTTTCAACGAATTTTTTATATATGAAAGCAATACCTTCAACTAAAAAAGTTGCCAAAAATCAAAGGAATTCCTAGCTGTTATTGGGTGGTTAAGGCGGCAATTTTTCAATTTAGTAAATTTTTGATGGTTTCTTTACGATTATTTTGGAAATTAATTGGTTAATCGTACGATTAATCGAACGGAAATTTTCGATACAATTAAATCGATAATAGAAAATAACCTATTACAATCGGATTTCCGATTCCAACACTAGTAGGAACCTTTGTTTTTT